AATTTCCTAACTTACTAGCTATAATGAATTGTATAAGCTACTAGCTCCCAGCTGTCAGATCTTCATCAGGTGATTCAAAATTCATATCACTATTTGAATTTTAATCAATGTTTTAAAAAACAGTACGCCAGGCACCTAGGTGGCTTGGACCAAAATACCGCACGCCAGACCCAGGCGGCCCTACACGGGAAGATGTTCCTGGGAGGGCGCCGAGGCGGGCTAGGTATCGCGGGCGCCTAGGGACGTGGCTTTTTGTTTTTTTTTTTTAATACCCAAAAGGGAAAATGGGGTAATTTTGAGGTTTAAATAGGTTAGGGGGGCTATTTTTAACCCCCAAAGTTAAAAGAAAAATTCCATAAACCCTCAATCTCTATCTCTTATCTATACTTGTTTCTGAGAATCAAAAGTATTGTTTGTGGTTTGAAGAACCTTCCTAAACCTTTTCACTTATTATGAAATATGGCGAGTTGGAGACTATTACTAATACATATCCTATTAGACTTTTAAATTTTATATGGTTTGAATTTTGAAATTTTAAACAAATTTATTCTCAACATGCAATATGTCATATTTTTGTGCATAAAAAAATATATGTTACAATATTTTCAAATGTAATAAATTCTAAAATTGACACAAATATATGTATATATACGACATATCTATATAACTTGTATAACAAGGTGCCTAAGGTTCTGGGTGTCAGCCTAAGTAAGTGTCAGGCCGGCCACCTACTTTTTGAAACCTTGATTTTAATCTTTTTTCTAGAAATCAAATCGAAATGATATTTTGGACATGTGTACTAAAACATAGGGCGCACAATAAAAAAAAATATAAAAATATTTTCTGAAATATAAAATGACTATAATACCCCTGAAAAATGACGGGGGTAGTTTGGTTATTTAAAATTATTGAAAGTAATTGTAGTATATTTTTATATGGTGCACAATAGTGTTAGGTATACACAACCAAAAATTTTCATCTCAAATCTGATTTATAGAAAAAAATATTAAAAATTAAAATAAGTGAATATAAAATTTTGAAACTACCGACTGAAAGATCTGAACGCTGCAA